TCTTTTTCCCCCCTTTCTGAAACCTGAGTTTATCACTCACTAGACTAGTAATGGAGAGCTTGTTACACTAAATCAGTGTCCTGAATGTTTTTACTTTGGACAATTCATTGAATCATTTGACATTCAGGATTTCACTTAGCTTTGGGCATATTAAATTATTGTGAATAATCTGGAAACAGATAAGTTGTTTAGTCAGCCTGTGTATTTGATCTTCTAAAATATAGCTATATTTATACATATATATGTAAAGTACATTATCCCATAAACTCTGTGGCTATGCATTATGGCTATACATATTATGACAGTCTGGGAGTTTAGAATTTATAACCCCAAATGATTTTCATGAATAATACACATCAAACACAGTTCCTTTTTAAAAAACTTTATCTGTGATTCAAATAAGCATCAAATTGATGCAGGAGATGAAAGTATGTTTTGTGGGGACCTTTCCCCCCCTCCCCATGTGGGAGTCCGTTCTGTGGGACTCTTCCCCTCTCCCTATGTGGGAGTCTGTATTTATTTTTTTTAATAAGTTTCCACTTTTGCTATACAAAAAAAAAAAAAAAAAAGTATATTTTGTATATTTCCACACATATGTAATGGGGGAGGACCTATTGGTGTTTATTTCCACCTATTTCTTAGGTGGAAATCCATGCTTCAGTTAAGTCAAGTTGTATTGTACCTTCTCTGCTATTTGCTCATTGTGAATTTGGCCTTTATTATAATGTTTTAATTCAAGCACTTCCTTTTTTTCATGTCTCACATCCCAGAAGAGTTCGGCTGTGTTTTCCTTTGATAGCACATGTTTTGGTCATGTCTGAGTTTAGGCTGCTGGCACCTTCATGAATAGCCTCTGGACCTTCTTTTTATGAAGATGGTTGTGAGGAAGTTCAGGAATCAGAAGCCTTCCATGTGACTAATCTACAGCCTGCTGCCACTTTCAAGAATTCTGATAATCTTTGACACCCAGAGATTAAGCCCTTCTTTGGATCAGATTGAGATACTCCAAAATCACCCAATTTGTAGCATTTTTTTTTTTTTTTTCAAAGCAGTATGAACACTGGGTTGTCGTTAGCAGGCCAGAATGAGCTATAAATAAATAAAACCCTATAGTGCTTGCTTCATTCAGGGTAGTGTGCTGATAAGATGCAAGCATCTGGGAGAAGAGAAGATGCTCAGCAGGTTTAAGTGCTTACCAAAGTGCTTTCCTGTATCCATGGCTCAGCTGCTGGTCTCGGCTGTGTTATTTTGGCACTCTAGACTTGTCAGATTGGAGAGTTGAGTTGAAAACTCCCAATATATCATTAGAGTAGCCAAGGTCCCTTCTTGTCAAGGAAGACTAGCTGATTCCAGGGGGAAAGAAAAGCAGAATCCAGGGCACCTGCAAATCCCTGTAGTTTTGTGCTGTGGGTTTGTAGCTAATTATACAGCAAGCAGCAGTAATATGCTGCAGCTCTGTTGGCATACTTGTTTCAGAAAGAGCAAAATCTTCCAGCAGAGCAAAGAAGGGCTTTAGAGAGGCTGCAAATGAATGAATCAGTGATCATTTTATTGTAAACTAAAGCTCTACATTGGAATGAGGGCAACTGAACTGCAAGGCGGTGGTGGGGAGATGCCATTTGAAATACATGGTTCAGATGTGTTTTAAAGCTCTTGATTTGGATTCTCCTGCAGAAATATAGTCACGCAAAGAGACCACCACTGGTCACAGCCAGTCAAATTGCTCTTTCTCCTATGGTACTGCTGTTAGCAACTACTAGTAGGTTATTCAGCCGACCTCTTCTGATTCTGCTTTGCTGCCTGATTTCAAAAGATTTGCCCTATATGGCTCTCATTCACAGCTTGATGTAACCACTGCTTGTTTGCATGCATCCCCATCATTTTCATATAGAGCCTTCCTCCTCCCCTTCATGTTAGAAGGCAGAAGAATCGGGAGCATTTTTATCTGATAAGAAATTTATGCAGGGCCAGCTAGAATCAAGCAAAATGAAATTCAGCTGGAAGGGATGGCAAAAGGCTCAGAGAACTTGTGACTGCCAGAGAAGTCAGTGTTCCTTAAATAAAGAGGGTTCAGCTAGCAGGCAGCAACTCTGACTTTGCATTCATATTGAAGCAGGCTCTCCAGCCATTCTAGGCAGACAGATCAATAAAATCAGAGGTGACTTAATGCCAAGAACCTCAGAATTCAAAGGATTTCTCTTGTCCTTCTTTAAATTTATTCTTTATTGATGTGGAATTCTAGCCTTGGAAACTACGAGGAGAAACTGCCCGCCTTAGATTCTGGCTTATGACAAGCCTATTGAACAGTGTCCTTGGAATGCATCCCCTTTGGTTTCTCAGTTCTCACATCTATAAAATGGAGCTCTTCTACTGGAAAGAAAATGATTCCAATAATTACCAAAACATTGTGAATGAAGATTCATCATAAGTGCTTTGAATAGCCTTATGAAAAGTGAATTTATATTCCATGTATTTGAAAATGCAGTTGATTGCTTTATCAGAGATTGAGCAATTAGATTATTTTTGCATGATGGGCATGCAGTGAATGTGGTAGATTTTATTTTATATTTTTAGCTACATAAATGGAAGAGCTGACTCGTACAATCTCTTCCTTGATTGTTTTTATGCAGACCATGCATCTAGCTTCCTAGTGTATCACAATACTGTACAATATGGCACACTGGTCATATTCTTTAATTGATCAAATAGCCCCTGATAGGACAACAAAATATGTAAATGATCATATTCATGGCTAACTATTTACCTTGTAATAGAGAATTTATCCTTCTCTCCAGCCCCACAGATTCTTATTGTACCAAAAAGGAAAAGCTGTCTCTAAACTTATCTCCTATGTGATTGATTTGATGCCATTCTTTTAAAAACTGGAGATGTTGGGAGTTTTTGTTCATACCTCATACTGTGTAGATGGTACACAATTTCTATAACAAAGCAGCAGGGGGCTCCCTATGAGAGCATGAGAATTGCTGATGGAGAAGGACTGGCTTTTTGTTGATGGTGTTCTTTTCAATTCAGGCCCCTTTTTGCTGAAAACTTGGTCATTGTCCTGTGAACATTCCCTAAGGGATTAAAGTGCAGCTACAGAAGCAGCGAAACCATTTTTATTAGTTTAAGAAATTGGTTAACAGTTGAAAAAGATTATGCTGGTTTCTAAATTCCAGAAACCTGGGTAGATGGAGCCTAAGATTGCTTTGGTTGTAGGGTCCTTCTCTCTGAACTGAGTGAGGTTCATAGGAAGGGATTGTGCAGGTGACTCCTTTCTTTAGAATCCTTTATATATTAAAAGCAAGACTTTTCTATGTTTTCATTAGTATCTACATTTAATTTTCTTAGTTTTACTTCCCTTTGCTCTAGAATCTATGCATACTTCATGTTTGTTGTTGAGGACCCTGTGCATTATAACGAAGGGTGTCTTGTAAAATGAAACCTATTCCCCTGAGTGAGAGGCTGAAAGAATGCACACAGCAAAGGTGCAGGTTTTTGCACTTGGAGGTTGTGCTTGCTGTCTTAGGAATTCACTCTGTGATACAGGTTTGATGCAGAGAGCGTTGCTACTCACAAATCACATGAGGTATACAGTTTGTGTGCAGTGATATGTCACAGCTTTTTATTTATATGGCCAGCTCAGTCTATTCTGCTCCTTTCAATGCCATGGAAAGTGCATCATTTTCCTCCCTCTCTCCTCCTTCCCACATATCATCAGCACCACCCACTATGTTCTGTCCATTAAGTCCTCTGTGTGCCAGAAAATCCCAACAATGATTAAATGCTGATAAAAGAATGTTAGAAGGTTAAGATATCAACCCCCTTACAGTCCTCCTAAATTGTGGGTGGTAAGTATAACTTTGCCCTTTCAACATTGGAAATAAGAGGTTTTAGTTGGTGTTTGTTGTTGTTTTTTCTCCTTATGTTGAGGAAATGCCTGACATCATTTTAATAAAAAGATTTAGTAGCAAAGACCAAAGAGAAAATAGACTTGCTTTGCAGTTTCCATAATTAGCCTAGTCTTTCTTTCATGATTTTGTCACATTCTTTATTGGGAATAACTAAGGTTAGCCAAATTTAGGTAAGGTTTTATTTATGAGAGGCCTAGAGTTTTTAAGCTTATAGCAATTTAAAAAAGTCATTATTACTCTAAACAAAATATATAAATGATAAATTAAAAAGTGTTAATTTTTACATAATATATCCATCTAGCCATAGAATCATTTATCATTATATTCCTACTTGATTTTCACTTCCTTAAAGCTCCTATTCTACAAAGCACCCTCCTTTCCAACACCAGCACCACTGCTGTCACCACCACCCACCACTATCCACCATCACTACCACCAACAACCCACCACCACCATCCACCACTACCTAGCACCTACCACCACCATTCACCACCACCCACTACCACTGTCCCACCCAGATCTATGGAAGGAAGATGGTGGAAGAGACTTGAAAGGCAGCTTGGGAACTCACTGGCTCTCTTTCTTTGGAGGAGAGTTTGTAGGTTCATAACATTTTCTTTAAAAACAATTAAGATGGGAGGGGATATAGAATCAACTTCTCTAGACCTCCTTATTACATTTTTAGCAAAGTAGGAACAAGAAAGAAGATTCTCTAAGAATCTTGTCAAGAATTCTATTTCATATTGAAGCTTAATATGCCATATCATATAACTTAAATTAATTTCCATGAGCCCGTGTTATATCACTACTCTGCATTATTTTTTTGGTAATAGAGCTATTAAAAAAAAACCACCCATGGTAAATATATTTGATTGTTTCCATCAATGGCTGCTTGGTGAGGTAGGTCCGAAGACATGCCTCTTTGGAGGCACCCTGGAGGTGGAAGGGTAATGAGCACTTATGTCTGTTGAATGCCAGAGCTGCCAAATTGGAGCTCCTCACAACTGGTGTGTATCTTCTCTGACGGTTCTTTTATTATGGCTTTTACTAACCTATAAGTAACTAATTGTGGTTGTTTAATTACAGAGGGAACATCCCCACGCTAAACAGGTACCGTATGTCTAGATTTTTTTTCCTTCCGTTTCCAATTAAAAACACCCTTTTTGTAACTTAGAATAGTGAAATCAGAGGGGGAAATAGCCCAATACTGGACAAGCGATTATGTTATCTTCTGCCAGGGAGTCCATCCTGAGTTCCCCTTTGGATGTGCTAAGTTATTCTTTCTATTTGGAAAACATGTCTTCAGCTTTTCTTCAGCTATTAAAAAAGCAATACTTGAAAAGCCTCAATATGGAAAAGCTCTCGTCAGCTGTCAGTGAGAGGAGAGTTGTCTGCTTGATGTTCATCTTTGTTGTAAACTTTTTTTTCCTTCTTTTTGCTAAGTTATATGTCTGGTTGGGATTTTCATAGGAGAACCCCTTAAGGTTATCACTATCCTAGGAAATTGTTCTTAATTTTTTCAATTTTGAGTTTCTCTTATTTGCTTCTCAGAGGAATGCAAATTCAGAAATAGCTGATCTCATGTTTTATAAATTTGTTTGCTTTTTTTCCCTAAAGTGATGATAATGATATGAAAGTTAAGTTTTATTTCAGGCCTATAATAAGAGTCACATTGGAAAAGTATATTTATTGATAAGTTTTGATGTGTATAGCCCTGGGAAGAGGTTTCTAGGCCAGTATAATACAAGTGATATTTTAGTACTTTGAGTTCCTCCTGCTTCTGAGCCAAGCAAGGCAACACAATGCAAGTTTGAGAGGAAAGCAATTCTGATTGGAATTTAATCCACAGAATGCTAAAGCAATAATAGGTTGGTGGCGAGCTTTTTGTACATGATCCCTTATTCATTGAAATATTTATAGGCTTATGTTTGTTTTGTCCCTCTCCCTTTAAATATTAAGTAATCAAAACTCGTTAAAGCTTTTAGCATCCAATTTAGATGGGAGAGGAAAGGGAGTGCTTTTGTTTGGTCCTTCTGCCTTCCCTTGGAGACTGGGCTTGGTTCATTCCTGCCTGCCTTCAGCTGTTTTGACCCATGAACAAAGTACCAAGGGAAACTGAATAGTGGATATTTCCCATGGGGTTCAGCTGAGTAAAAAATATATTTAACCCTATGTTTGTCACAAGCACAGCCTGATAGCTTATTTAGAGGGAGTTCCCTTTAAGTGTTACATGGAACTCTTATCTTTCCCTTTTACTATCAGGCAGGTAGAAAAGATACAATGCCTCACAAACTTGCTCCTTTAGTGAATATATTTGGTGATCCTAGAAAAGAGGATGATAGCATTTCGGAGCTCATACAACTCTGAATCCCAATTTCTAGTGAGCACCAAGTGTAAGACTTGCTTGCTGTGTGTTTCATTTGTTTATTTCATTCATGGAATCAATGGTTTCCTCTCCCACCCTGCCTTTCTATTCCCCACTACTATCAAAGATGAAGTACCTTCTTCATAGTCATGAGTTGCCAAGGGAATAAAAACCCAGAGTGTCAGTCTCTATAGTCTGTGTGAGCAGCACTTCCATGCTATAAAAAAATTTCATTGCCTTTTATAATTACAATTTGCAGTAAAGTACAGTATGTACCCAGATCTCAAGTCCACATTGCTGGCTCTCTTCCCCCTGCAATGCTGCAGGTGGTGCACTTAAGGAGATTTTAGAGCAGCTCCCTGAAGGTCAGGTGCCATTGCCTTGCTCTGAACTTGCTTCCGATCAGTATGCCGGTTACATGTCAGGCAAGTCCTAGAGGCATCCTTCAGCTTGGTCCTTCCTAACAGGCTGCCCTGATTGACTGGGCATTCAGAAACACTTTACAGTATTATTTATCAGTGCATACTGCTGAGGTGCATCAAGGAATATACAGCTTCATTATGTTTTTAGATTGAACAAATCAGTTCAGTTCTCTTCGAGCATCTCCATTTAGCACTTGTTTGTCATGCTTACACATACTGTGAGACCCATGCTCTGCCCTTTCATATCCTGCTGGGATTTATTAAGGGCTTTTGGTGAAGGTATACTTACCCTCGAATAGAAATGTCTGACTATAAAATAGAAATTTTGCAATTTAGGATTGAAAATGTCTCTCTTTCAAAAAGGGAGGAGCTGTAATCCTTAGGATTGCTATCTCTATCAGCTCATTAAAGGAAAAAGTAAATATCAATACTTCCTAAGTTCCTTTTTTAGACTGTGACTTGTTTCTGTATGGTAAATAATGCTTTTTATAATGATCTACTAAACCATTCCAAATGACTTAGAGTTGTTGCACATGCATATATCTATCTGTGAATACTTAATCTATTAGTTACTAGAGAAAAATACCTTAAGTGTTGCCTAGTTACAACTTACTTGGCTTGCTTACTTCCTTTTAAAATAAGAAATGTTTTAGGGAAGGGGAAGATGCAGAGTGTTTTTTAACCCCTATGTGCTGTTTATTCATTAGACACGCCATGATATCATTGTATTAAAACTGCCATGAAATTCCTGACAGTCCTTAGATTTTTGGAGAAATTTTGGAGTGGTAAAAATACAGCTTGTGTGTCTATATATGTGGGGTGGTGGTGGTGGTGGTGGTGGAATTCTAATGAAAACGCTAATGTGACTATAGTAAGACAGCCTTATCCATACGGGGTAAAAAACCAAATCTGCTCTGCAACCTGACCCTATTTCTGAGTTTTCTCCTAGCTCCTTTTCCCTGCTGTCACTCTCCCAGCCCTTGCTCCTACCCTCCTTGTCTAACACACTTGGTTGAATTACCATTTAGAATGTCCTTCTCCTCCAACCTCAACCACTGTGGCATGACTCATGTAGCTAATGTCAGCGATGTGCTACTGGACAACTCATTCACTCCACCATGTCAGCGGATGGGCGGAATGGTCTCTTTTCGGACGTTCGAAGATTTTGTCAGGTAAGACACTGTGGAGCTGTGTATGTACAAGAGAGCGATGGGCGTCTGTGTTTTGGGAGTCTCAGATTTTTGCCAAATGAATAAAGGTCCCCAGAAGAGCCATGAGCCAGCTAAGGAGATGTAGCCCTTGCTGTATATGCCCTCAGAGAGGTATATGTCCTTACATTTCTACCTCTCACTCAGACTCTACAAGCCTCTAGTTGTTATATGAGCCTGGTCAGGAAAAAAGAAACAAACAAAAACCATCGTTTTCCTTAGGAGCTAGCAGAAGAAGCTGTCTGCTCTGTGATGAGTGAAATGTCAGGAGAAATTAAACACAACACTAGAGTGAGCCCACCAGAGACGATACATCTTTTGATTAAATGCATTCAGCATCTATCTCTTGATGTATACTGATGCATTACCCTAGGGGGAGGGGTAATTACATTGGTCTGTCACTGCTTCAGTCCCAGGCTCTTTCTGTTACTTTAAGACTGATGATGACAGCAGTGCTCATATCTTACATAAAAAAAAAAAAATAAAAGCAAAACTAAAAGCTTTAGATCATTCTTTATTAAAAAATATATATATTATATATGCTTTATTAAAGTTGAAACAATCCATCCCCCTAATTTCTGCCACTTGGTGAAATTTTGCATATCACCTCTAGCCACTGGTGTTTGTATTCCGTTGACTGTTGAACACAGGGTATGGTAGATTATTCTTTTAGACTGAGCTGGCAGTGGCAGCGTTCATATTCTGCCACCTGGATTTTCATGGTGGGTGTTTTTCTCTGGTATTTTTCAGGCTCTTTGGTGAAGTGATGGGGTGCTTCTGTGATTCCCCACCCCAAAGCCCCACATTCCCTGAGGCAGGTCACACATCTCTGTACGATGAAGACAAGGTATACTGTTCCTTTGGGAGACTGCTTTGCTCCTTCAGATACATGACTTGTGCTGTGTATATACTATTTTTCCGACTTTGGAGTGTTATAGGAAAGAATTCATCTTTTTTTAAAATCCTGACCTGAGAATATTTTTTTCATTGATTTTTCTTTTTCTTTTTTAAAGATAATGGAGGGAGAGAAGAGAAAAACATTGATGTGAAAGAGACACATGGATAGGTTGCCTCTGTTTGCACTCTGACCGGGGTTAGGAATCCAGCCTGCAGCCAAACATGCTCTTGACCAGGAATCGAACCCATGACCCTTTTTTTTTTTTTTTTTTAATATTTTATTGATTTTGTACAGAGAGGAAGGGAGAGAGATAGAGAGTTAGAAACATTGATGAGAGAGAGTCATCTATCAGCTGCCTCTTGCACACCCCCCACTGGGGATATGCCTGCAACCAAGGTACATGCCCTTGACCAGAATCGAACCCGGGACCTTTCAGTCCCCAAGCCGACGCTCTGTCCATTGAGCCAAACCGGTCTTGGCCGAACCCGTGACCCTTTGGTCCACGGGCTGATGCTCTAACTGGCCAGGGCAAGAATTCATTTTTTTGCCCTACTTTATGTTATTTAATTTTATATACCTCATCAACTATTTTTGGAAATCTGTAGAATATAAATTCTTACCTAAAACATAAGTAAAGCATATTAATCCTGGAATCCATACTGTGGAATAGGCTTGGCTGTATCCATTGTAGCTGCCTCTGGTTCTCTGAATGTTGTTTCAAAGAATTCAGCTTTGGTTGCTTCAATTCTAATGTAGTGATGGCTTCTTTATTTGCACAGTGCTACTATTATAGTCTTCAGGGAATGGTACACTTAGATAGTAGGAAAAATATGTATGTTGTTTAAAACTTTGTCCTTTTGCCAAAACCAGTTTAGCTCAGTGGTAGAGCATCGGTCTGCAGACTGAAGGGTCCCAGGTTCGATTCCGGTCAAGGGCATGTACGTTGGTTGCGGGCACATCACCGGTAGAGAGTATGCAAGAGGCAGCTGGTCGATGTTTCTCTCTCTCTAGCTCTCTCCTTTCCTCTCTGTAAAAAAATCAATAAAATATATTTTTTAAAAAATAAAATATAATAAAACTTTGTCTTTTTATTAAGTTCCTTCTATTCATTTCTCAGTAAATAAGTTGTTGTTTTTCCCTACCAGGTTCTTTTTCTGTGGTTTGACACTTCTGTATGATAAATTGTTAGAAAATATATTATGAGGGAGTATGTTCAGATGGCTTCTTTCACTCATTTTTCTTCACTTTCTGTGAAGAGGTGTGGCAGTTGTTTTTATTCCCATTTTATTGGTAACAAAATTGAGACTAATCTTCAAGGTCATGTCAAGTCAAGGTTTGGGGCCACTTCCAGCTAATGCCTTCGCTGCCTTATCTTTTAAAAGGTGAATGTTTTACTTCTTTTCATCTCCATTGTGGATGTTGGTGGTTTCAATATGCTTTATGTGTGCTAGTAGGCAAATCAAAATGTCATGTGGGGCATTCTACTCAGTACTATAATTTTTTTTCAGTCATTCTACTCAGTACTATGATTTTTCTCTAAGTCTGTATTAGCCAGCCTCCTGATGTCTTTGTCTTATGTTCTTGGGTTACAGGTCCCCAGGGATGAACCTATTCACATTCTGAATGTGGCTATCAAGACTGACTGTGATATTGAGGATGACAGGCTGGCAGCGATGTTCAGAGAGTTTACCCAGCAAAACGTAAGCCCTCAGCTGGGTGGAAACCTGTGACGGCTCCTTACTGCTGGCTGGATATCATACCAATCTTTTTATCAGTTGCTACTTGTAAGGCCCATCACTGTGGATGGCTATGTCCTTCACATAGTTCTCTGCATATAGGGGTAAAATTCCAAAGGGACTTAATAGTATATAATGAATATCTGTTTATGTCAAGAAATATAGAAACTCAACTATTTAAAATGTATTTTGCACTGACATCAAACTTCATAGTTTAAACCTAAATTTCCATCATTTTTCTTCACCTCTTCTGACCCCCATCTGCTCCACCACCACTCCCAGCCCCGCCAAACAAAATAAAAACAAAAAACCCAAGTAACCATTCATTCAGAAATCATTGACTTCCTCTTTTTCCTTGCCATTTCCTTTACCACAATCTATGTGTTTATTTGTATCTGGTCAGTCACCAAGGTCTGTCTTTTGTTTGTACTGTCTCTTTCCCTCCCTCCTTCTCTTTCTTTGTTTTCAGATTTTTAATTCCCACTACTATCTCTCTGGTTTAAAACCTTACTCACCTCATACCTGAGGCACTACAACAGGTTTACTTGCGATCTACCTATCTTCCTTCACTCTTCCCCTCCAGATACTTTCCATTCAGAAGTGAATAGCCCTAACTAAAATGTATTTTTCCTCCCTTGAACTTTTAATTGGTCAGCATACATTCACTAGCAATAATAATACTTTTTATTTACAAATAACTTCTGTGTCAATTTTTTATTTGCACCTCACCACAGTCCCATGAGGTTAGATTAGTTAGGAATTATTCCAGTTTTGCACAAGGGGAAAAACTCAAGCTTAGAGAGATTAACACCTCCTCCGACTCTGATCACCAGCTAGTAGATGATAGAGCAAAAATTAGTATTTAAGGGCTTTAATTCCACCTCTAGGAGCCACAGATCTAGGTGCTTTGGTAAATGATGTATTTTTTTTTAGCCCTGAAATGATTCATGTCTAGTTGCAGGGACTGCTTAGGCATGCTCAGAATGATTGCAATATATGATAGATGCCAAAGTGTCCTCTTTAGCTCTTTAATGGCAAAGACCCAAGTGTTTTCTTGGAATGGAAACTACTAGTTAATAGTGTTTATTATAAAGAAAGAACTGAATAGAATGATTTAACAGTATAAACAATGTCATCGGCATTCACATCATATAAATCTAATGGTAGATACCTGGGAAAAGATGGTAACTTTGTGCTTAATGTGAGTCCTAGCATTTACTCCATGTTGCTCTGGAATTAAGAGTGGCCACCCTAAAGAAAGGCTCTTACAGAAAAGTGAAAATAGGGACATGCCTGGGATTTTTTCTTTAGAAGAAAAATTTACCTCCCCCCCCCACCCCCTTGTCTTGTGAATACATAAAATTAACCTGAAACCAGGGACCAAAGAAACCTTAGCTGGAAGAGTGCTAATGTCGTGCATGACTGCTGATGCTAAGATAATCTAAAATTTCCTTCTCAGGTTTTGAGGCACTAATTGCCCTTATTTGATTGTTTTGACCTCAACTGTAGGCTTTTTATTACCCTCACATCTTAGTGCTGTATGTTATCATATGTTGATTTAAAGAGGCAGTTTCTTCATCTTCACTACATAAGTTTATAACATTAATTGGCAATAAGAAATTGCCTTTTTCTTATAGTGGACTTGTAAACTGAGGCACAGAGAAATATATTGTCATTGCCCGAGGCTATTCAGAAGGGTAAGGGTTGACTTTCCAAGCCTAGAGAAGCTGTTAACTGCATCGGATACAGTGCTTCTCCAGAAATATTAGGCATTTTCACTTCCTTGTTTCGAAAAGAATGTAAAAATAAAAATAAGGAAAAGTAATAATAAAAAAAAGCTTAAATAACTAGTTTTATTTTTCACTTCATGATCATGTTCCTAGCAGTTTAGAAAAAGTTTCTTTTTTTTAAAGCACACATTAAACTATCAAATAGGTTGATCCAAATTGTCCAAATAATCTTCTAGTCCCAGCATGTCTTTTTTTCTCTCATAGAAATTAGGATCATATATTTGTAAATGACTTGAGGAGGAGATTGAAGCAGTCAGTGCAAATGGAGTTTCTCCAGGTGCTGGCGCCTAATCGCTGGGTAATAGCTGTGGACTTGCTGTGAGGCCCGCATTATTACAATGTAATCAGAATCCTGTTGCTCTGCTGTTATTGTCAGCCACTTGTGGAATTTTAAAAGCAATAACAGTTTTGACTTTAAATCATGGCATTATTAAAGTTATTTTCTTCTCTTGCCTGAACATAGCTATCGATGCTTGTCTTTGAAGGGTTGGCTGTGGTGGAATTCTTTGTTGGTGGTATCAGGTATCAGAAGAAATGTTTCTTTTCCTTGGCACACTGAAAGATTGAGAACCACCACCACTCACCCCTCCCTCCACTCCTCCCTTCACTCCTTCCTTCCTCCATTCTTTCTTCCCTTCCTCCCTCCTTTCCTTTTCTTATTATAGTATTAATACTTGGTTATTTATAATAACAGTTATGATGTCAGTACAGATCATTTATTAAAGTTATTAAACCAAAATTTATGTATATTTGATCAGGGAATTTATTATTAGGAAATTTATTTTTCCAACTATATTTTGCTTATGTTGCTAATTAATTTTATTACTAAGCAAATGTCATAATAGAAAATGTTCTCCAATAGGAGGAAATGGCTTGGGACTGTGCTTATTTATAAGCAGACTCCAATTTGGATTTTAAAAATATATAGTATCATGAAAATCAAGAATTGGCTTATGAACTTATCTCTTGGTTAAAGTTATAGCAAGGAATTGATGAATATGTGGGCTTTTACAACCTAAAGTCTGGACTTAGGTTGTAAAAGCCCACATATTTTTTCTATTTGTGTCACTCAGATATTTTTACAAGTCATTCAACTGGTGAAACTGTTTTTCCATTTGTTGCCATGTAGCCCCTCTTTGCTTAGGATCATGCTGTTTACTTAGCTCATTAAACTGTCCCTCTGTCTCTCCCTTTTGAGATAAACTTACCAGGTTCAGTACAGATAGAAGAAAGCTTAGATCCAAAGGCCCAAGACTCATATGAGACAGTCTTGACACTGCTGGCCTCTCTTGCCTTCTAATACACTGCTCAGCTATGCAAGTGGAAGTATGAATAATCACTAAATTTAAAAGTCGATTAAACATTGCACTTAGCAACTTTTAAAGAGAATTTAAAAAATACTTTCAAGTAAAGTTAGTGGGGAGTATGTTCTAGAAGAAGTGAAAAGATCAGGATTTGTTAGGTTGGATTCTAGGAATGCTATATATGATGGTAAGTGTTATCTATATTGTAAACAACAGTTTAGAACCTGAATTTTCCACTTTATGAAATTTTCTTCTTTTCCCTCTGATCTGAATGACCTGATTACATTTATCTTCTGTTTTAGTTTTAATCTTCACATTTGAACATTCTCACTAATGTGATTTCTATAAGTAGGAATTGTGCTAAAATCTACCTTGAAGTGAATCAGACCTTAGAGAATTTAGGTGACTACATATGACCCCTTTTCCTACACAGACTTCTCTCTCAATTTTGTCAAGATCAATATAAAACCTATCCCATAAGACTTAGTCCCAGGATCCAGATGGAGATTTATTTATTTGCAAGTTTGAAGGTACTAAGCCAAAACACAGATAACCAAAAAGGATGCTTGGCCCAATTAGAGCCTGTGGAGGACTGAATTGGGGTAAGATTTAGGATGAATGGAGATCTTATCTATCTTTTATTTTACATGTTTCTCCATAGAAAGCTACTCTGGTTGAACATGGAATCCGCCGCCTTACTTTCCTGGTTGCACAAAAGGTATTGGCAATATGGAATTACACCTGTCTAACATTTCTTATGCTGCTAGAATTTTAAAAGTCAGAAAGTGGAGTTATAATCATAAACTTATTTATAGAATTTATGTAGAGAAATAACTGTTTTCTACAAGTTTAAGAAAAACATTAACTTAACTCATCTTTTACTCAATTTGGTTTTAAATTTATTATTTCTTTCCTTTCTGTCTTTCACTTGAAAGGATTTTAGGAAACAGATCAGCTATGAGGTGGATCAGAGATTTCATGTAAGTAAAAGGAACAATAATGAAATATTATTTACTGTTTTATCTGTTTGCCATTGATTATTTAAACATAGAATACGTGTGAGTTATTTAGAAGGGCTGGACTGATGTTTGGTCCCTCTTCTTTTAGAAAGTATTATGACTATTCAATTCTTCTATGGTTGTTTTTTTCTACCCTATAACATTCTCAATATATCTCTGAGAAATAATTAAGAATGAGCATATGCATTTATCTGAATTAATAAGGTAGAAGCAGGAGCTAATTTCTTCTACGCACACAGTGAATCAATAGAGAACTGTCACTTGCACTTTGGGAATTTGGCTTTTATCAAAGAGGATTCAAGTTCTATTATTGAGAATTATCAATTATGTGAAACAATAATTTATTATTAAAATACCTTAACCGCACCTAACTTGCTACTTTTGTCGCATGTTAATTTTAGGAGCAGGAAATAAATAAAAATTGCGCGTTAAGTTGCTTGCTCTCCTATTTAGCTGAATTAACTTAATATTTATGACATTAAGTTTTATTGAAAAGAGAAGTAAGTTATTAGCCTGGTATCTGAACTAAAGCATACCCATATGATCAGTATGATGATAGCACTAAGACCAAGAACCCAGTTTGCAATCAAGATGTCATTCTCTAAAATGACTGATTGTAGTAAAAATGTTTCTTTATAAGTCGATCCCAATATGTTAGGTCTAGTAATAATTAATGTCATTTTCTAATACTTTTTTAAAATCAAATTTATTTAAACAATACAACAAAATTTAATCAACAATATAGTTGCCGTTGTTTTCTACTACTTGTGCCCAACGCTCAGGAAGCATTTTAATCCCTCTGTTGTAAAATTCTTGTGATTTTGATGCAAAAAATTCGGTCAATGCATTTTTGAGGCATTCTTCATTATTAAATTTTTTTCCAAGAAGAAAGTTTTGCAAAGAACAAAACAAATGGTAATCGGAAGGGGCAATATCAGGAGAATATGCAGGTTGAGGGAGAACTTCCATTCCAACTGGCGCAGTTTTTCAGCAGTGATTCTTGCAGTATGCGGTCGTGCGTTATCGTGGTGAAGAATTACGCCCTTCCGATTAATCAGTGCGGGTTCTTTTTCTCTTAAAGCTTGGGCTAACCTTTCCAATTGGGCACTATACATTGCACTTGTAATGGTTTGGTTAGATGGTAAAAGTTCATAATGAAGAATTCCTTTAAAATTCCACCAAACACACAACATCACTTTTTTCGCATGCAAGTCAGGTTTTGGCGTGGGCTGCGGAGCCTCATTTTTGTCCAACCATTGAGGCCGCCTTTTCAAATTAGCATACAGCACCCATTCTTCATCTCCGGTAACAATTTGCTCTAAAAACGGGCAAACGGTTTTGATGAGAGAGGAGCGAACTGCAAATTGTGACTCTTTGATTATGGTTGTTGTCGGTCAACTCATGAGGAACCCATTTTCCAAACTTTTGGACTTTGCCAAGTGCACACAATTGATTGGAAATTGTTTTTTGTGAACAATTTAAAGTTGTCGCAAGCTCTTGTTGGGTAATTTGAGGATTTTGCACCAAAAGAGCTTGAAGAGCTTCTTGATCAAAATTGGACACACGGCCTCGACCACTCTTGTCATCTAACGAAAAATTTCCCTTGCGAAATTTCTCAAACCAACGCTGGCATTTTCTGGCACTAACTGCATCTTGACCAAGAGCACTACAGATGTTTTTTGCAGCCTCACTTGTTTTTCTTCCTAATTGGAACTCGTAAAGCATGCAGTGCCGAATATGCTCTTCATCCGCCATCTTCTTAGCCCTAGTTTTGCAACAAAAACCAAACCAAACACAAACTTTTTCAAGCAAAACTTGTTCATTGCACTTCACACGTTCTGTAGATACCACGTGTTTGAAGGTTATGTCAATACAAGTCAACGCCAAGCAAGATTTTAAACGAATGTTTAAAAATGACATTAATTATTACTAGACCGATAGCTAAGGATTCCAGAGGGTCTTAGGAAGCCTTAATTTTTCTGATAAGATTTTTGTTTTGTTTCATTTTATCAATTAAGATAATTAAATTTGTTTTTAAAACCTGCTCATTTGCAATAATGAAGATAATATTTGGGATACTGGAAATGACTTTCTAAACTTAAGGACCTACCATATTTTCCAGCGTATAAGACTACTGGGCGTATAAGACGACCCCCTGATTTTTTTTACAGTTAAAACATAGGTTTAGGCCTATATTCGCTGTACACTGTGTTCTAGTAAAAAGCCTGCTCAGATTGGCCAGGGTCAGAGAGGCGCTCTATTAAAAAAAAAAACAAAAACTGGTGTTGCCTCAGAAGTGGGGGATAGTCTTATACAGCGAATATAGGCCTAAACCTATGTTTTAACTGTAAAATTAAGGGGTCGTCTTATACGCTGGAAAATACGGCATGTGTGGTTGCTTTTATTGCCTTTTTTGTTTATTAGATCTTTAGCATTTGACATTTTGTTTTCCTTCTAACAGTTCACCTTGTTGGTCTAGTGCAGCAATTTTCAACCTTTTTAATTCCATGGCACACATAAACTAATTATTAAATTCTGTGGCACATCAAAAAATATGTTTTTTTGCTGAAATGACAAAAAATGGTTATAATTTTGATTTATTCACACCGAATGGCTATTGTTGTATTGGCTATTGTAATTTTTTAAATTTAACAATCTAAGGGAAAAGTGGTCAGTATTCCTGACTAAATAGTCAGGTATTGCATGTTTTAAAAATTCTTGCGGCACACTGATTGAAAATCGCTGCTCTAGTCTATAGAGAAACAAGAGAGTCTACCCTGCAAACTAAAGAGCTGAGATTCTCTGAAATGCTCTAGGAAGTGTTGTGGACTGCACAGCTCTCCTATGTTATTGATGTTAGGAAGCCAAGCAGAGTACAGATATATATCAATCAATAATTTTAGATAGGAAACTGGAGACAGTGAAGAAGTATGAGGAGCTTAAAGGGAACCCTGGAGCTTTAGGAAGAAAAATCCAGAGCTTAGAGAATAAAATTGATACTTGGGGATAGAATATGAGAGACCATGAATAAGTACTGTGGCCGGTGGATGCTGATCAGAGCTAGGGTAGACATGCCAGAGCCTGGCCCTGGGTCTGGGAAGAGTATTGGGCTAGGTTCTTAAGCTTAAACCTGATTTTTATCTTTTGGGTTACTATATTTTTCTGGCAAATTGTGTTGAATTTGTAAAATTGTTTTCCTTTTTCCTAATGGTTCAGATGAAGCCTTCATGTTTATAGCACGTGAACTGGTTTCCCATAATAAGCATTTCCATGATAAATTAAAACTCTCTACTAAAAATTTTTAAAAGCCAAAGCAATTAATTATCATGGACATTTTTTAATGTGTTTTATACATACAGAAATATATATCCTGCCTTACTGCTAAATCTGTCATGTTCTAGAGTGTGTGTGTGTGTGTGTGTGTGTGTGTGTGTGTATATAGCTTTAAAACATATTTTTCCTCTCTGTTCTAATATTTCTGGACTTAGATTGAATAGGGACATGTATAGCCAAAATCTACTCGGAAATGAGCCCAGCTGTGGGCATTTCTTGGGAATCGCGGTCCAGTTCCTATTTATAGTGATATCAAGTGGGAAATTGATTATATTACCAAGTGACATGATTTGTCATGAATGTAGGAAAGGTTGCTTTAGAACTTAGAGAAATTAAGATGGAGACAAGGTTTTCTCTGAAGAACTGAATGGCAGAGGAGTTGGGTTATTTTTATGTTAGGCCTCTTAGTAATGATTATTGGTTACACGGGGGGCAAGGGCAACTATTACTGAATTCCATCCAGGATCTACAATAGCCAGGACCCCTTGGCAGGAGCTGTACAAATCCAGGGCTCACTGCCATGGTATTGCTGTAAGTTCCTCTGCTGGTGGTAGCTTATGATTCATGAAGGGTGCTTAGCCTTTGTCATGTCATCTGATGTGTGCTTGCCCCATAGTTAGTGTAGTGTGAAAAAGAGGAAGCTCTCCGTGAGTGTTAGAAATGAATCCCTTGATCTCTCTGGCTTCTTGGTAATCCACTGTGACGTATGCAGTCTCTCCTGTTCTACACTGTGAAATCCCTATATTATCAAGTAGAAGAGAGAAAGCAAGCGTACATGAGGGGGCAAGGAGAGGAGGAAGGTTACCAAGTTTGGTTCAAGAACAACATTGGCTGGTGTGGATGAAGCAGCTCTACTGTTGCATAGTTGTCTCTCAGACTGTTTCAGAACCAGAACAAGGCAAAGGAGGGCCAGAGTAGAGGTTCCTAGAGAGTGGGTATACTGTTAGGTGTTTATTCAGATGCCAGTGAAGGCTATAAGCATTTCTAAAACTTCCACCCTCCCACTGGAATGAATACCTGCAGCTACCTTAGTCTCTTGACTCTACATGAAGCCTGTTCTGACCTGGCAATATTTGTCAGCATTAAGAACACTTGGTGTGGAGTCCGTTTCCAGACCATGTAATTAAATCAAATACCTTTTATGGGATTTGAATAACTGCTTAACTTTTCTACAGTAGCAGAACATTTGAGGAAAAATGAGCCTATTCTTATAAACATCTTCTTCATATTAAAAAAAACATTGAAACCTTGGAAGCCAAAGAGCAAGCTTTGAATTTCTGCAGGTATGAAAGCTGCAGCTCTCTACTTTCATGTAGTATTAAGTCTGTTCATTTCACTCACATTTCAGGTTCCAGAAAGTGCAGCAGAAGGTACTATTTAACTGGAATATAAGTATTATACTTTCTGGAGTTTTCATATTTTCTCAGCCAAGTGTTTTTAACAATACTAAAATGCACATTTTTAGGATTTCTTCTCATTCTTTGCCACCTAAGCAAGAGCATTAGGGCCAAAAACTGTGATGAAATTCTGAATCAGTTTTGCATCTGTAAAGTTTCTTTTTTTTTATGCTTGTTTGTAAGATTTCATGAAATTTGTAAAATTCTGCTATAAATAACCTAGATGCACTTTTATTGATTTTATGTAAATAACTCACACTTTAAAATGAAATGTTTTGGAAAGAAGAGCCTACTATTGAAAAGAGTTATCACGATTAAGTAGTTCATTTCTTTAAAAAAATTTTATAGGTCAACTATATCTCAATAAAACTGAAAAAAAATTGGTAGTTTTGTTTGCTATGGATCAACTATTAGTTTTTCAGAAGGTTTGTTTTGGGTTTTTGTTTTAATTACAGTCTATATAATTAGTTCTCAGCATGTTGAGGTAAAAGAGAATTGCACCAGCAAGCTTTCAATTTCTTCATCTCATTAGGTTTTTAACATGATTATTAGTATCATAATCAGCTATGATGTTTTCTGTTGCAGGTTTTCACATTCTCTGATTTGCAGGGTGTCTTGATTGGCTAATTTAGTCAAATTATTTTGATTGTCTTGATGATGGTTGGCTGATTTAGAACACAGCAGGGGTATAATTTCTTCCTGAGAAATGTTGCATTCTTTTGTTTTTTAGTACCAGAACACTAAGAGGGTTTTTTTTGTGTACATTCAATTATGATATTTGCCCATAACACTAGTAGAATATCTGGAAAGCAATTATATTAGTGATAGAATAAGCACGAATGCAGTTAGTGGAAAAATTGGCAATATGAGGATGAGGTAAGATGAAGGAATCTACTAAAACTATAGGATCAGACTTTTGTATTTCTTTTCTGTGTTTTTCTGTATTCCTGTGATTTGTGTGTGTTTGAGTGCCAAAAGAGGTGACTTTCTATAAAAGTCCTCAAAACTTGAAGAATTGCTCATTAATCCTGCTGTCCCAATGCACAGAAGTTCTTACTCTCCTATTCTGAATGTTTCATGCTTAAATTGAGGATTTTTCTGCAGAGCTAAAATTTACACAAAAAATGTTTGCTGATATTATCTCATAGCACCTTTTCTTAGCTAACTTTAATGAAAGTAGTTTTTCTTATTGGTGGTCTATTCCCACCCTGCCAAGAATTAATCAGCCTCTTTCATTATTTGTAATAAAGGCATTTCTATTTAAATTGTTTGCTTTTCATGCCTTTCAGTTGCTACAAAATTTTTTAGTTGGTTTGATTGGCAAAAAAAAAAAAAAAAAAAAGAGTTTTTTGGTTTTCATTTTTGAAGGAAAATAGTCATTTAAATAAATGTACTAAATAAATATTTAATTAATATTTATTACACTCTTCTATTCTGTCTTAACAATTAGTTAAAGTATTTATTTAATACATTACTTTCCTTTCAGAAATTTCATTAAAGGATTTTGTTACCCTTCCTTTTTTGACTTGTGTTACCTTAGCTAGTGCTCTGACAGCCATATCTCTCAAGAATAAAACAAAAATGAGACTATAAAGCCCTGAGCATGCAACCTACTGACAATGCAGCTGAACATCTGTCTGTTTAATCTTGAAGTCTTCCCCATGTTCTTTACTACTATTCAGGGGAATTAGAGAATTACTTGGAATAAAAACATCATCAGTAAAAGATCAGTGCTGTGTAAAGTTCACTTTCAAAAGACTTTTAAAGACCTTAGCCTGGACAGGTGGTTTTCCCAGGCTTGCTAACCAAGCTCTAGAAGACTGTTAAATGCAATTTTACAGTTAAAATGCAAAGAAAATGTAAGAAGATTTACTAACTGTGCAAGCTATAGTTAAGGTGAGGGTGAGGTGTAATACCTGTGGAAAGTATTTAACAAGTTTTCAGTAAATTCATGAACCACAACTTTTCAGTATGAGTTTTGTTTTTGTTTAATTTAAAAAGTCTTAATTTCTGTTTAAAGAGAAGATTTCTAATGAACCTGGATTATAAAAAAAAATAGAGTTAATGCTTTATACTTGAGAAGTAATTTGGTAGAGATGAAGGGCGTGAAGAGACCCAAGTTCATATTCTAGGTTTCTGATACTGGGCATATCACTTGGTCATGGCTTCTCAGCTGTAAAATGGGATACCTAACCTTGAGAGGTTGTTGAGAGCATTCAGGGGGACAATACATGGGAGCAATGCCACCTAGCAGGCTTTCATTTCAGGTTTCCTAAAGCTCATTGACACATTTATGCAGCTAGCCCTGGTTTCTCTGCCTTGTCCCAATGAGTAATTATTTTGCACTCACAATGAAGAAGATGCCTAATGAAACCTCCTGTAGAGGCACATAGTAATGACTTGACTCTAACACCACCAATAGAGCTTCCCATCCGAGAAACGGGTATTTGATGTTAATAAGTTAAATTTCAGAAACTAATCGACTCTGCTAATTGAATTCATCTTTGTTAATTAATAAGGTTCTAGTAAATTGGTTGTTTTCTTTTGTAATGCCCTGCAAAAAGAGTGGTAAGACCAAATGATTCCAAGTTCACTAGTTCCACCCCATTCTTTCTTATACTTATAGTGGTAGTGACCAAAGTAACATCTTTACTTTTGTCTTGAAACATTATTGTTAAAACATTATTGTTTAAACCCTTAAAATTTTGATTTGAGAGTGAATGAGGAAAACACATGGATTAGGGATTTTATGCTTTCTGGTTAGTTTACATTTTAAGAGTTTCTTAAGGGGAAACTTGGGAAATCAGTTCAATAACTGCTGTTGCAATGCAGAAGCTTAGAGAGTATATTGGTTTTATTTGCCAGGAGGTGCCAAAAGCAACACCCAGGAAGAATTTTTTTTTTTTTTCCACTTGGGAGATGAAAAAATACGATTCCCCAACCCCTCCCCCCCAGGAGAGGGTACCTATTAAAGTTAGGTTAATAGTGTGGTGATTCTCAAATGTGGAAGTAGAGTCAAAATGATGGTTACCCAGAGGATCATTCACATTCCCCAGGCTAAGGTTCGGCAAGGATTGTGTTTTCTAAGAAACTGTCTTCTAGATGCTTGAGTGCTTCTGTACTATGTGTTGATCCCCAAAGAACCATATCTATGAAGGACTGATACATTTTCCCCTTCTTTTAACACAGAGAGAATTCCCTAAATTTTTCACGTTCCGAGCAAGGGATAAGGTAAGAACTAATTCCTTCCTTCTGTTTTTGTTTGTTTGTTTTTTATGTTTCTTTTTCCTTACAAGTCTAAGAGTGGCATATCTTTGCCATTCTTTTCTCTAATTGAATTTGTGCTTCCCTTTGCCTTACACGTATCTTAGAACGAAAGAAGACTCTCTTCTGAAAGAGTTTGGTTTAGGAAATAATCAAATATTCTGACCTACCCAAGAATGCAATAAATTTCAAAATCATCCTTATGCTTTTGATGTGATATTAAAGGACTGCTACATTTAGTAGGATTATTCTCATCACCTACAGACAGTTTGTTTATATTCAGAGTTATGTTTTTTCAATTTTTAAAATACAAACTTTCAGACTGCATTGGTTTCTTCCTGTTACCATTCACTAAATTGACATGTACTCTGGAAAAACAATTTAATTTCATCAGCAAAAATATATTAAATGTAAATATAGTTCTTAAAAAAAACATATGTGTATATATAGGATGTTTCAAAGCCAAATACCTCTGTTTAAAAAATTATATGATGTTCATATGTCAAGTATTTACTGTGTCCTTTGTATTGTGCCAGAAATTATAAGAGTATAAGACATGGGTTTTGCCCATGAGCATTTTAGACTAGATGGGTAAAACCAAAACACTGGTATGTAAAGTAGTTATTAATGTAAAACAGTTTGTAATTCATTGTTAAAAAAAATAAAGAATTACAAAGATATTAAATGCTACAGGAGTTCTGGGGGAATTGATTTTTTAGTTTCTTTTTAACGGAGAGCATCATCACTTATAAAAACATAAATGATGAAAGCTTGGTAAGTTAAATAGGTTCTTTAGCGCCTAACCTTATGTAAGCTATAGCATTATCCTTGTATGTAGACCATTTTTGTTGTTCATTAGCACATCATACCTTATGTTTTTATTTTTAAGCATCTCTTTTACATATGTACGCATTCATAATATCACTCTGTAACCACTTCTGGTGGGCTTTTTTCCCCCCTCCAATTCTTGTGCTCAGTTTGAGGAGGATCGTATCTATCGTCATTTGGAGCCTGCCCTTGCCTTCCAGTTAGAGCTGAACCGGATGAGAAATTTTGACCTCACTGCCATTCCATGTGCTAATCACAAGATGCACCTGTATCTTGGGGCAGCCAAAGTGGAAGTGGGCACAGAAGTGACAGATTATAGGTTCTTTGTCCGTGCGATCATCAGACATTCTGATCTGGTCACCAAGGTGGGTGCTGTACTTTAATGGGAAGTTATCCTTGAGGGAAGGGACAGAGGAACAGTCATGGTTCAAAATTAGGTTTTTTCTTTTTGAGTCAAAGCTCTTGTTCATCTCACTCTCTAATAACCAACCGAAGTCTGAGAATCATTTCTCTTACAAAAGTAAATATTCCATATAATAACAAGCTTTTTCCCTTTCATTTGAATTTCCTTGGTAATGGATGCAGAGTAACTCTCACTTGAGAGAAGGAAAAGCATGTTAACAGAAAATCACAGAATCACAGGAGAGTTAGGTGATGACAGAGTGGGACAAGTTAGCAGTGATCCCGTTGTAAACTTGTCTAAAGGTAGGGTAGTTTCTCTGTATAGCAAGGTGCTTCCTGGTGGGTTAGCTATTCCCATATCCCATCGCTATAACCTTTCTAAACTGTTCTGGTATATGTGAGCTGTAACCCTATAGCGTTTCCAGTATCCCCACCTATTGGAAGGAAATTATATACTAAGAGGCAGCAGGAATTCTTTTCTTTTTTTTTTTTTAATCCTCACCAGAGGATATTTTTATTCCCCATTGACTTTTTTAGAGAGAGTGGAGGGGAGGGGGAAAGCGGAAGAGACAAATACATTGATGTGAGAGAGACACATCGATTGGTTGCTCCTACACGCACCCCAACCAGGGCTAGGCCTTGAACATGCAACCCAGGTGCATGCCCTTGACCGGGAATCGAAGCTGAGACCCTTTGGGCCATGGGTCAATGCTCTAACCACAGAGAAACACCAGCCAGGATTGTAGGAATTCTTAATCTGCCCCTGCTGCTTGTGGATATTGGGCTGACTAGGGGAGAAAGGTCAATGAACCTCTCGCAGGTGCCTTATGATTCATTGCTTAAGTAATTATACTAGCCATTTCATTATTGCCTCTTAAAACATTAATATATATGGTGATTTCTTCCTGCATAGGAAGCTTCTTTTGAATATCTACAAAACGAAGGGGAACGGCTGCTCCTGGAAGCCATGGATGAGTTGGAAGTCGCTTTTAATAATACAAATGTTCGTACTGACTGCAACCACATCTTCCTCAACTTTGTACCCACAGTCATCATGGATCCATCAAAGGTACATTTCTTCTTAGCTTCTCTCCCTGAAGTAGCAAACACAAGCAGTGAGATTCATTCATATTTATTCTCACTAGGACCTGGACACAGGTACTCTTGATCAGCTGGTTGAGCCCTTGATGTTTAAAGTTTACAGAATGAAAAAATAAAGTTTACAGAATGCTTATAAGACTGGTTTTTGGGATGGTGTCAGAAACTTGCTATAGTATTGTAAAGCAGACCTCAAAAATGAAGGTGGTATGATTATCTTTCTGGTCATTTATTTATAAGCAGTTATAAGAACATAAAATCTTTTCCACTTCCTCCATTGGTACCTGTAAAATGATATTTGCCATGATAGCAATCTTATCTATACTAATAAAAAGGTAATATGCTAATTAGACTGGAAGAACTTCCGGACAAAGCCATGGTGGTGGAGTCAAGGCAGAGGATGGTTAGGGGCGATCAGGCCAGGAGGGAAGGCGTTGGGGGTGAGCTGGCCGGCAGTGGGGGCAGTTGGGGGCAAGCGGGCTGGTGGGGGGAGCAATTGGGGGCAAGAAGGTTGATAGGCAGAGTGGTTAGAGGTGATCAGACAGACAGGCAGGTGAGCAGTGCCAGTGGTCCCAGATTGCAAGAGGGAACCCAGGTTGGAGAGAGTGCAGGCCGGACTTGAGGGACAACCTCCCCCCTGCACGAGTTTTGTGCCATCAGCCACTAGTCTTATATAATTCCTTAGGATTTCTCATCTAGAATAATTAACTTGCTATTGGGCATTTTGGCAGAATCACTGCCTCATTGTACTAAATGTTACTTAGCTGATGGCTTAGGGATGTAATATACCTTCTTAAGTATCTAACCTATTTGTCTTTAGTATTTTTCCACAGGTAGAAAATTTGGCTAATAAGGAATTTCACAAGTATTATATATGTTTTCTTATATGAGGCTCTGTTCTAAAATGCATTCCATATAATTTAAGGAAGGAAAACAAAGTGATTCTATACTTGACCTTTTATCCCACAGAAGGCTGCTTTCTGCTTCTGCTCCCTCTAACCTTTTTCTTTCATATTGTGGAATTGGATAGGAGAGCCAGTATATACCCCTTTATTTATTTTTAAACTATATTTTTATTGATTTGAGAGAGAGAGGAAGGGAGAGAAAGAGATAGAAACCTCAATAATGAGAATTATTGATCAGCTGCATCCTACATGCCCCCTCCTGGGGATTGAGCCTACAACTTGGGCATGTACCCTGACCAGGAATCAAACAATTGACTTCCTGGTTCATAGGTCGATGCTCAGTCACTGAGCCACACCACCTGGGCATACCCCTTTCTCATGATTAGTTGTAAGCATAGACTTTTGCTTTTTGAACTTAGTATGAAGACCTGAAAAATCTTTTTCTACTTTTTTTTCTTCAAGACTCCAAGCTATTGATCAGTTGCTTTATCTGACAGGAGAGCCTAAGACAGGACACGCATTGAGTACCAAGTCTCATCATGTAATTTAAGCAAAGGTTCCCCTAAGCATTCTGGGACTGATGAAGCTGAAAGACTTAAAATATGGCCTGAACATTATATAACTAACTATATGTATTTATAGAGTTAGCCTACAGTTTCTCATGGAGTTATTAACATCAGCCTCACTGTTATACTCCATATACCCGTATACCCTGGTTCTGCCTTTCTAATCATAGGTAGCTGTTAATTTCCTTTATAGAGAGATGTTGATTTTTGTCCCCTTGAGAAAAGAATGGATACTTGGTTAACAAGCAACTGTGGGGATAGTTAACTCCTTGAAACCCACTTTAACCTAAAATTCTGTGGCGCAGAAGCAAATTGCAGGAGTGGCACATACTTCTGAAAAGCCACAAGAGAAAGGTGGTGTGAGTTATTTTTCAGAGTTTTCTGCGTTGAGAAAGCATTTTAGAAAGATACTTCACTTAAGAAACATGAATTTTGAGTAGTATGTCCCTGCAGCCATGTTGGAAAAGAATATATTTTTTGCTCCAGTGTATCAATAAGGAGAAATCACACCTAAGGTTGTAGGGTTAAAATAATTTCCCTGACCCTGAAAACTAGAAACACTAAACTGACTTGGTATAAAACTTAGGGAAACTAGGAACATCTGCTTCATATACTTAAATCCCAGTTGGACTAGGCCAGTGGTCGGCAAACTCATTAGTCAACAGAGCCAAATATCAACAGTACAACGATTGAAATTTCTTTTGAGAGCCAAATTTTTAAAACTTAAACTTCTTCTAACGCCACTTCTTCAAAATAGACTCGCCTAGGCCATGTATTTTGTGGAAGAGCCACACTCAAGGAGCCAAAGAGCCGCATGTGGTTTGCGAGCCACAGTTTGCCGACCACGGGACTAGGCAATGACCAAGTTTCAGAGCTTTGTTTACAGAAACCATTCTAGCACCACTTACAAATTGCCTATTTTTAATTTGTGCAATTTACCAAGAGACATATATTATAAAGTTTAATAAAATGTATGGAAAAAAGTTCATAGTGGTAATTGCTATGTTGATTTAAGGTCCTGAAAGTGCAATGAAACATAGTTACCATGCATATAAATGCTACTTAATAGCTATTTAACTAGAGATTTTATTCTTATTTGGGGCTTTCTCTTGAATCCCATAGCTTGTAATTTTAGATATTGCAGACCTTTGAGATAGAATATGAATATAATTGGAAGAGAGGGAAGGAGTTGCACACATTTGGGTGTTGTTAGACATAGAAAACTGCTCATACAACAGGCCAGCATGAAATTGTCCCTGACTTATCTAAGCAAAAGTAGGGTTGGGGAGAAACTATATGACTTTTTGTAAGGAATACATGTACACACCTTGAGAAACCAGCATCTTGTTCCATTCTTCCTTTCCCAAAGATGGGCAGACCTAAAACAGGTCCTGGTTACTGGTTTTTAAGTTTTGTGCTTGGTGGTGTGTGTGTGTCAGATTGAGGAATCTGTGCGGAGCATGGTAATGCGCTATGGAAGTCGGCTGTGGAAATTACGCGTCCTCCAGGCAGAACTGAAAATCAACATTCGCCTGACACCAACCGGAAAAGCAATTCCCATCCGCCTCTTCCTGACAAACGAGTCTGGCTATTACTTGGACATCAGCCTGTACAAGGAAGTGACTGACTCCAGGACAGCACAGGTACAGTAGTGAAGTACTAGTCACACTTTGAGATCTCATCAAAGTTTTTATTTGGTCCTAAGGATAAGCCACTTGCATTTGCTATAGAAGACCCAAACTCATAAATCCCATTGGTTCACCTAGTGGGGTTGTCCTCATGAAATGATTGCATGAATTTGAAAAACTTCATTTGCCTCATAAGATGTACCTATGTTCCTAATCATGGGTGTTATAAAACCTCCAACTTTCAGTTATGTGTTGATGAGTCCTTATAGATGCCAAGTGAACCTAACCCCAGAGGTAATTGTGTAATTTGGGACTCGCCTTAGGTGGCTCTAGTAGGGTTACTTGAGCAATCTCACCGTTTCTGATCTGATTTGTTCTTCCTGTTTTCAACCTACTGTAGTTAGACCACTCATTAGCAAGTAAAGAAAGGAAAATTGTTGAAATATGTCATCAAGTTCTATCTTAAAGAAGGAAAATTTCAACATAATAGTTTGAGCAATATCAAGGAGTGATTTTTATCATATTTAACCATTATGATACTCCATTTATACACTTTATCTTCAAAGAGTTCAGAGTAGTATATGTCTATAACAGGGCAAATCGGCAAACTTTAACCATTTTTCAGGTAGAAAAATTGAGAATGTGAAAATGGAAAGTGACTTTTTTAGTAGTTTGGTCCTATGATAGCAGAATTTCTTTTTAGTCTGTTTTACCACCTTAGTTTATAAATATTTGTGCCATTTGCTGTGATACTGAATTTAGTTTGGTGCACCATTGCTCACATCTTTTTATGAACTGAGATTTTATTTCAAGACTTTGGATAATAGTCTTGGAAAGTGCATGCCTTTTGTTGAAAGGTTGAACTTGCTCCAGTGTGTGCGCTCAAAGGGTTCAGTCTATTCTATGCATTGGGTGCCAGGAAGAGATTATGTGTCTCTTGTTTTTATCTGTGTCCTTTTAAATCCTGGAACAGAGGCAAGAAAAGACATTTTTATCAGTACTTTGAAGATGAATTTTAAAACTCTGAGTTTGGATAGCTGTTAGAGTGACCTTTCATTTTGTGCTTTGAGTCCAAGTTAGATGGCCAGAGAAATCTGTCCCGTGAGAAGTGAGCAGTTAAAACAGAGAAGCGCACAAGTGTGTGAGGGGTTAGCCAGGAAAAAAAGTATTCAATAATTTTTCCTGCATTTGATGTTTTTCAGGGCAATCTTAAAGACATTTTCAGTCAAAGCTTTTCATGGGTAGGGATGTTTTTAATTAACTTCTACAATCGCTTCAAGGCAAGTCTATTCTTGTGAAAAATAAGATGGCCTCTTGAGATTTCAGTGTTTATGATAAATAAGTTTGTTCTTTATAACTACTTTTCCCCCTTTCTTTGATCAGGAAGCTCTTAGATTTCCCTCATGCTGACTGGTGGTGACACAGGGACGTAAAAGGCACAGAAGCCTTCAGTCAGGGTTTAGTGTGCCACCTGGCACAAAATAAGCACTCAATACGTATCTTAATGAATGAATGAGCTACCTTTCGCCTAAGGGAGAACCTCTTTCACCATGGGTCCTGCATATTTAGGAAACCCTGAAGGCGGAGGTCTCCCTCAGGTGCTTCAATGAGAGAGTTCAATGGCCACTGCCCTGTGTGAACTCAAGAGAAACAGCCTCCAACCCAATTCTGGCATTCCTAATGCCTACCTGGTGCTTATTGACGATTTGTTTTTCCCCTGTCTTTGCTCTAGTGAGTCACCGTATAAATTTAAAATAATATAGAACCATGCATGTCATTCATTTATCTGTTCATTAATTTAACATTTATTAACCACCTATAGTGTTTCAGGCAGTGTGAATACAAAAAAAAAAAGTGATCTCTGTTTCTCTGTTCTCAAGAAATCTACATCACTATGGAAGACAATTATTAGTTTCTCTGTAATATTATGATTCTGCCATCATAAAATAAGAACAGGGCTCTAAGAGAACAGACTATCTGGGATCAGAGTTTGTTTTCCAAGAGAAGCTCTTTTGATGGTCTCTGGTGAAAAGAGTGTACTATATTAAGTATGTACCTATTTTCATGAACTTATAAAACATATACTTTACCAATTTTTAATTATGTCCATTAGAGTAGAAAATGGGATCAACAGAGCTGATTATTCAGAGCCTTCTAGTGCTATCCATTACTCTCAACCTCTTACTTTGGCACATCGTTTATTCTTTTTGATGATAGGGAGCAAGTTGACTGGCATGAGTTTCATACATGAGTGGTATTAGTTGTAATGAATACTCATGTCAGGTAGTTATTTGTGGGGAGAAGAGATCTGGGTAATCCATTGCATGTCAATTGATATGTAATATATAGTGTTAGGGATAAGTACACATTTAAAATTCACCTTTATTGAGATGCTTTATGTATATAGCTCAGTTCATCCTATATAATAAAAGGCTAATATGCAAATTGACCAAACAGCAGAACAACTAGTTGTTATGATGTGCACTGACCACCAGGGGCAGACACTCAATGCAGAAACTGTTCCTGGTGGTCAGTACACTCTCAAAGGGGGAGCACCACTCAGCCAGAAGCCAGGCTCATGGCTGGCAAGCACAGTGGTAGTGGCAGGAGCCTCTCCTGCCTCCAAGGCAGCGCTAAGGATGTCTACTAGCTTAGGCCCACTCCCCACGGAGAGTGAGCCTAAGCCATCAGTCGGACATCCCCCAAGGGCTCCCAGAGTGCGAGAGAGCACAGGCCAGGCTGAGGGGCCACCTCCAAGTGCACGAATTTCATGCACGTGCACTGGGCTTCTAGTTCTGAAATAATAGACATTACTATTTCTATCTCTCACATTCCTAAGACATTGCTAATTTTACCTCCCATCTGGTGACTTTCACCATTGGTCATTTGGAAGTGGGCTGGAAACTCCATTTTATGGGGTTTTGAGCACACAAGACGAGTTTTGCCCCAAATAGGACCTTTTTGACAAGTCGGCAGAACTCACTTGTTCCTCTGATCTAAGCAGCTAAGGATTCACTGAGCTGAATTATACCCAAGATTTTTAGCTAAGCAGTTAATTCTCTTCTTATGCCTGTATAGTAGGTTCACAAATCTAATCACTAATAGTAGACTTAAGCTTAAATATATTAGGCCTGAATAGATATGTGGGTAGATACACATACTCTCACACCCCAATCTCCATTTCTGTTCTCTGAATTGGGAAACTGGATTTTGTGTATTCATGCATAAAGTGCCTAGTTTAGTGTCATATAACCTCCGGCACACAATAAATATTAATTGAATAGAAATAATGGCATTCCTTATAAATATTGATAAGCAAATAAAACTAAATGTATGAAAATATGAAGTACTCTTCTAGAAATATTTGATTAAAAGTTTGTATGGTGATTTCATTATGAGACAGTATAAGTATTGCAGGAGCTAGTCACTAGTTGTAGACATGGTGTTCTGGGGGAATATATATATATATATGTGTGTGTGTGTGTGTGTGTGTGTGTGTGTGCGCGCGCGCATATATGTGTGTGTGCATATATATATTATATAGATGTATATATTATTTAATAAAATGTATACTTTTTACCACAGACTATGTCTTCTAAGCTAATAAGAATTAACTAGCTACATGGACGGGTGAAATTCACTTGTAACAGAACTCTTTGAAGCCTTTCTCTGGCTAATAATACTTATGAAGCACCTTCTCATCAAATAGACTGAAACATAAATGATACAGTAGAGCATGACCTGGCCTTCTAACGCTGGGGAAAGAATAGAAGTCTCTTTAGTGCATCTCTATTTCTCAACTTAAATACTAGAGCACTGCTCAGACTGGCATTAGTTGACATATACTCCATTTCTGAATGTGTGGGATTCGAGTCACTTTAGAAGGCAAGCATTGTCCGTCTGTCTCTGAAATGTGAAATTTACACTGTGCTTTTCTATTGATTTCAACAAATCCAAAAGTGAAAGCAGCCAGTGGTGTACAGTTGGCTACATACCATTTTTTGTAGTTGGTTAATTTGTAGAGAAGTGAGAGCACCATGTACCCAATGTTAAGAAGCATATCTGAGCTACTCAACCCACCAAAAATGTGTTTCAAGAAATAACTTTTATTTAAAAAAAAGCCCTTCTAGGCTGCTCTCTGATGTTTTTCTCTGTCTCAACGCCCCATGCCTTCCTCTTTTTCCTGCAGATCATGTTTCAGGCATATGGAGACAAACAGGGACCATTGCATGGAATGTTAATCAACACTCCCTATGTGACCAAAGACCTGCTTCAATCAAAGAGGTTCCAGGCACAGTCCTTAGGGACAACATACATATATGACATCCCAGAGATGTTTCGACAGGTAACAGTGGCAGCTAACTGGGAGGTTCTGACCTATTCCAAAGAGACAAGGTTTTCTTGACTCTCGGTCAGATGCAGCGTAGACTGGAATGATGCACTCCTAAAGGGCAAGAAATACCTTGACACTATTCTCATTTCTATTTTATTTGAGATTTGGTGACTGCCAACTTAGATTTTGGATGGCTCTTTGTGAATTAAAAGGAGAAATAGTGAGGATCAGAACTTCTATTGAGTAGTTGAGAGTAAACTGAGACTGCTTGCCTGTGATGGTAGTTTATAATGATCTGTGTGAGGAGTTATGTTCAGGTCTATATTTCCTAAGCCTATATTCAAATTACGGATATTAAAGAAGTTGGAAACTCTAGTTTTCATTTTCCTGTTTTCCAAGATAACCCAAGTCTCTCCAGCTCATAGCCTAGATTAATATGAGAATCAATATAGATAACATATACTAATATATGATACAGAGTTCATGGTATACAGTTTAAAGTAACAGTTCTTTTGTGGGAGATTTATTATAGCTGAATAAAAACTAGCTTGAGAAAATATATTATGAGTCTTATCCTCTATTTGAAAATAAATTCCTTTGATCTGTATGGTGAATCATCTCTATGCTGCAGATTTTTCTTCCATCAATAGAAGGCAAAAAAAGTATATCACCAGCAGAAAAATGTGCAGATAAAAAATAAGGTATCAAAAGAATACTGAATTTGTCCTTTAAGAAAAATCTATGAATAAAGTATTTTTCCAAATGTCCTAGTTAATACCCCAATATCACTATATTTGAATTTTACTAAGGTAATATATGTAGCCTTAGTAAATAGTCTATATGTAATTCCTGTATTACTCACAAATATAAGAGATTTCCTTAGGTAACTACTTATTTACAAGTTCTCTCTGTTGAAATGTAGCTACCATTATTCAGTATCACTGGCATTGTTAGTCTAAAAGTTGAGTGTTGGTTTTCTTTCTCCATGCCAATGCTATAAGTAGAGATCACATTCTATATAATTCTTTCTATAGAATAGACATAAATGGAGTGATTAGGACATCTAAATATGAATGAGTCATATTGTCTTTAAATGTTGCTTTGAGTAAGCAAAGAAACAACTAGTTCCCATTTCATGAGGCACTTGTTTTGATAATAGGAATTGGAAATGGAAATCAAGATGGTTTCTAAATGGGTAGGTGTAGCTAGCTATCTGGTTTTTTTCTCAAATTTGAGCAGAATTGACATGTGTATTTACAAATAGTCATACACCTCTAGTGAACTAATTCCTGTTTATGAGCCTGTATCTCTTAAAAGTTATTAGAAAAGGGGTGCTTCTCCGGAACCTCTAATAGAAACTTTATTTTTGCCTCTTGGGATTTCTTTGTATTGGCCAAGTGTTATGTCATTTTCCTGGTTATGCTTCTATTACCAAGTTTCTCTAAGAATTTTCTTCATTTTTTGCCAAAACCGGTTTGGCTCAGTGGTAGAGCGTCGGTCTGCGGACTGAAGGGTCCCAGGTTCGATTCTGGTCAGTGGCATATGCGTTGGTTGCGGGCACATCCCCGGTGGGGGGTGTGCAGGAGGCAGCTGGTCGATGTCTCTCTCTCATCGACATTTCTAGCTCTCTCTCTACCTTCCTCTCTGTAAAAATCAATTAAAATATATATATATATATATATATGGAATTTTCTTCATTTTGTTTTAAGGAGGATTGATAATACTTTCTTATTTTAATTTCCAGGGATATAGTTAGTTTTAATATATTTGTTAATGCTCTAGTGCTGATTCAGAACTTCTCAGTAGTTTGATTGTATTGGAAAAATGCCTGATTTTTGGCATGTAAAATACTTTATGTGAAAAATAATAGCAAATCTTATATGTTCGCCCGAGGATATTTTTTCCCATTGATTTTTAGAGAGAGTGGAAGTGGGGGAGAGAGAGAAGGAGAAACATGGACATAAGAGAAATACATCAATTGGTTGCTTCCTGTATCCGCCCCAACTGGGGCTGGGAATTGAACCTGAGACTCTTCAGTTTGAGGGAAAACACTTTAACTACTGAGCAACACCGGCCAGGGCAATAACAAATATATTTTAACTGAGAATGGCCAAATCTTTTCATTTTTATGTATGTTGAAATTCTAATTGTCATTGATGAGTAAAACTTCTCTCCTCCACTAGTCCCTGATCAAACTCTGGGAGTCTATGTCCACTCAAGCATTCCTTCCGTCACCCCCTCTGCCTTCTGACATACTGACCTACACTGAGCTCGTGTTGGATGATCAAGGTCAACTGGTCCACATGAACAGGCTTCCAGGAGGAAATGAGGCAAGTAGTTGAGTCCCCTTCCCCCCTTTCTTAGTTCTGTGCCGACCAGTATCATCTTTTCATGGGATGGTCATTAAATGGTGTTAATTCAGATCCAACTACTAAGCAGTCTTATTGGTAGAATTCTTTAGAAAGAGAACATTAACTGGTTATTACAGAATTATTGTTTAATTTTGTAGGTATGATAATGATATTATTTTAAAATGATATTACAATTTTGTTTTCTTTAATAGTATTTTTCTATTAAATATTAACACTAAAATAACTACAGATGAAATTATCTGATATATAGAATTTACTTCAAAATAATGGGGAGTGAATGTGGGAATATGGATGAAATAGGATCAGCCATGAGTTGTTATTGAAGCTAGATGATAGATACGGAATAGATTATTTTCTCACTTATTGTATATGTTTGAAATGCTTGACATTTCTATAATAACAGCATTTAAAGTACTGTTTTTTTGTGTAATGTTTTTCTTTATTTGGATATCTCTTTTATGCTTAGGTAATTTGATCTGTGAGCAGGGTAAATATATTCTTAAAAGGACTCATTCAGAACCAGGGGGTTCAACATAAAAGAAAGTAACAGAGCTCTAGCTATTTTGGCTCAGTGGATGGATCGTTGGCCTGTGGATTGAAGGGTCCCAAGGTGGATTTTGGCCAAGGGTATATGCCTGGGTTGTGGGCTCGGTCTCCAGTGGGGGGCATGCAGGAGGCAGCTGGTCAATGATTCTCATCATTGATGTTTCTCTCTCTCTCCCTCCCCCTCCCTTCCTCTCTGAAATCAATGAAAATATATTTAAAAAGAATAAAAATAACAGAGAACCCATTGCTGATAGTTATTCAAGAATGCATTTTCTAGCCGAAACCGGTTTGGCTCAATGGTAGAGCGTCAGTCTGCGGACTGAAAGGTCCCAGGTTCGATTCCGGTCAAGGGCATGTACATTGGTTGCAGGCATATCCCCAGTAGGGGGTGTGCAGGAGGCAGCTGGTCGATGTTTCTCTCTCATCGACGTTTCTAGCTCTATCTCTTTCCCTTCCTCCTCTCTGTAAAATATCAATAAAATATATTTTAAAAAAAAGAAAAAAAAAAAGAATGCATTTTCTAGCCTTGAAGACCTTTCTCCTGTTGTGCACTAATCATGATATAAAGTCATATTTTGCCCAATATCCTATGTCCAACAATGATAATAGTCATAAACCTAAAAAGAGATGTTTTTATTTCAACCTTAGATAATAACCCTAGAAAAATCTCCTTCCTTTGAAGGACTAATCTTCACCTCATGTTCACCATAAACAGGCTGGGTAGATTTTTGGAGATAATACACAATTGTTTTCATTTTATGCAGTATCTTTTAAAAATATATTTTATTAATTTTTTACAGAGAGAAAGGGAGAGGGATAGTTAGAAACATCAACGAGAGAGAAACGTTGATCAGCTGCCTCCTGCACACTCCCCACTGGGTATGTGCCCCCAACCAAGGTACATACCCTTGATCAGAATTGAACCCAGGACCCTTGAGTCCGCAGGCCAACACTTGAGCTAAACCAGCTAGGGCTTATGCAGTATATTATAAAAAAATGTTCCTATATGTATAAGGTGTATGGCTGTTTCAGTAAGTGCACAGAGGATGCCAAAGTAGATGATTTAATATTAAGATGGATGCAATCAAGGACCAGATGGAGAGTATCAGACTTGTAGGAGTTCTTTTAATCTAACACCTTGAAATAGAAAAGGCCAGAAGCTAGGGAGGAAGGTTGCATAGAATTTTGACAAGGGTAGGTATATACTCATTAGCACACAAAGTTGAAGTAGACGTTTGTGCCGCTGTGTGTAGCATGTACTCAATGAGCCCTTCAAGAGCAGAGAAAAGCTTCATTGTGCTAGACTTAAATTCTTCTTCATTGAACAGTGTCGTCTTTAGGTGCAGAAGGCACCCTTGTGAACATGGAGCTGAGAGAAACGGTTTTAACTAATGTAATTAAAACACAAAACGAGATTTTTGGCCATGTGCAAGCTAGCTGCAGTGCTATTTGAAACCTCTTGCCATGATCTTTCTCTCCTGCTTTCGCTCTGCTCTCATTCTGTATTTGAGCGAATGGAGACTAGGGGAATAGTGAAGTCCCAGAGGGACAGAGCTCTGTTCTTGCTGAAATTACAAGCACAGAGCTGCCTGGGCATGAACATGTAGTGTTTACTCTGCCAGTATGAATACAAATAGTCTTATTATACCGGACTCTGTACCCAAAGACCACACACACACACACACACACACACACACACGAATAAAAAAAAATTAAAGGTTTTTTTTAACCCTTTTAGGACTCAACAAACCTTGATGGAAAAAGGATGTCTTATACCATCACTGGAAATAGCAAAGTCAGTATTAGGAACCACATTTCCCTTTGCCCAATGCTATAATAATCTTGAATTTTTTTTTTTCTTTTTGTCAGTTCTCACTTTCTTCTTTTATTCTTTTCCCTTCTTTGTTGCCTATTTTCTCTTTTCCTTTTCTTCAAATGATTGACTAGAATTGAAGCTGATAGTTAGCTCGCTATTTCTGAGTCTTTGAGCTCAGGAGGAGTGAGACCAGTGTTCTTTTTTGTGAGCTGTTAGTGAGTAATGCCTGGGATGGTTGGTGAAGTCAGCCAGTGGCCATAGCTAGATTATGGGGCACTGCATGACAGGAATGAGGTTGGGGTATTAGTACCAAATTCTGTTACCAATAGCTTGAACATACAATGGAGCATGTCCACTGAGAGACTGACCAATCTAAAGATGAAGTTTCAGCAGTCTGAACTCTGAGGGACAGCTCTGCCTAAGAGAAGACGTGCTGTCAATAGGATGTATTTCCTCATGCCAAGTTATCAGGGCAAGTTGACTTTCAGCTATTGCAGTTTAATTTTCTTTGGCCAAAGAGACAAGTTTGTCATGAGCCTGGCACCCTACATTTTACCCAAGAATGATGTGAGGGGAAAGAAAAGAGCTCATGCTGATAAGATTTGTAGCAAATCGGTCCTGTCCCACAGAGAATGGGCATCTGAACAGAGACTTGCGGAATTGTTTTATTAAAAAAGGAATAAAAAATCAATGTCCTGAGAGCCAAGGCCCAATGTACATGCATTGGTGCTACATCGACATTAAATCATTATAATGTGGTGTTCTCTAAAGGTGACGGTTCTACCCGGCCATGATTGTGGGTGATATTGTATTACCTTAAAAGATTGGAGTTTTGGTGTTTAAAAGTTACCACATGGATATAGGAATAAAAGTAAAACAGATTCCTGCAGAGTTTCCCCAGGAATTAAGATGCGTTTCCCCATGATCAAAGGCAGAAAACCTACACTTATCAGACCATTGGCTATATGTGTGGCCCGTCTTCCTTATTTTTTTTTCAGGACAGTAAATGGGCAAAATGGTGATGGGTCCAGAAGTCGGAACAATTCAGTTCCATTTAGTTTTAGGTAACTTGTTTGCCATTTGAGGAAGAATATTGGCTGTTTCAGCAAAGATGTGACCTGCATTTTGAACACTGTGCCCATGTTAATAAAAGCAGGAGAAACAGCGCTTTTCTGCTGTGGTATTAGCTACGTTCTCCTTTCTATTTTCCTGGCTGTCCCTCCACCATCAAGAAAGGTATAACTGAAGGAATGCCACGATGCATGATGAAAGTTGTAGGGAGAGTACATTTTTCTCATTGTCAGATTTGAATGGCATTGCTTTTAGTATGAATTTAGAGTAGGAAAAAGAGATGCAGACCAAATCTGCATTACTTGCAGTAGCTCCAAAGATGATTTGTCCAGATTTTTTTTAATAGTTTAAAGTAAAGATGAAAATTAAGGAAAATATGATTGCAGCATATACTAAACTGATTTCACTTCTAGCTGAGTTCATGATGCTTCATTGATGGGCACTGTATGTAAATACACTGCTCAATGAATGTGTGCTGTTGAGCCTGGGTAAAGAAGCAATGCAGCCAAACAACAGTTCTGCTCTTACCACATCTCACTTTGGAGGAATTGTTTTCATTTTCCTGTTTGTTTGCGAGCCTGTTTTGATCATTTGTTGGAAGTGGTAATTGCAGGTGGGAACATTTTAAGTAAAGTTCACAATTCAGTGCAGCTGCTTTTCGCACAGAATCCTGTTATTAAAAGGCTCAGGCTAAGATCAAGCCAAGGCTGTAACGGACTTGACAGAGAATAACTTAACTTTGCCTTGTAGACAAAGAAAACACTAGCCTTCTTGAGACTATGTTATTTGTTCTGAAATGTTATTAGCATTTTTTTATTCTATTTCCTTTAACCACTCTGTGAACTAGATCACAAATTTCTAAATCAGGCAATGAGGAAAGATATGAGAGAGATGCACCATTCATAGTAATTTTAGTGAGGATAGGAATTACGATCCTTTTCTCATTATTTCAGAACTTGGCCTTTTAAACAATATGAACCCATTCATTCCCTCTCATCACTCCTGTCATAATGAAAAACAGAGATGAGAAGAAGATGCTGTGTTTAGAAACAATTAAGTTCAAGATGTGTACTCCAAAAAGGATTGATCTTTAGATACTGGAATTGTTGCATAGTATTACAGTTTTCCCATAACATTTTTTTGTTGTTGTTGAGAGATAGGTATATTCCAAATTGAGTGCAATTTTATGGTCACTTGTGCACACACTACCACACTTAAATCATTATAGGGTCTCCAAGGCTTCATTTTTTCTGATGGGCACTAGGTGTCAGGATTTTTCCTTCTGTGCAGCTTAGCATTCAGACAAGCCTCTTGATTTGCCTTGTTTGGTGAGGCAAATCCAGCAGTGTCCTCCCCCCATGCCTCTCTTGTTTTTTGTTTTTTGTTTTCAGTTGGATTGGTAGGCTTTGCCGTGTGTTCCTACAATATGCAATTACATTTTTAACTCTTTGGGGTGGAAGTCCTGTTGAATTTTACATCATAGCTGTACACATTTTGCTAAATAATTTTTAGAAAGAGGATGATC